TAGACCACCACCACGTGGCTGAAGCAGGAATGAGGCATTTCATACCTCGGGGAGATGCGGCTCAACAATATCCACCTGGCAGAAGGGCACTAAAAGGACCAGAGATGTGAAGCACTCAGCTCAGAACCTAGAAAGATTAAGCTCACTAAATAGTAGCTTATTGTTATACAGAAGTTACTAATAGAACACACTTCCTCCTACCCCTCAACGGGGAGAGAGACACACACAAGGATAATTAATATAATGTTTTAAAGACCAGGAAAGGGATATTGTGGCTGATTGTGGGAACTCGGAGGAAGGAAAGCTGATTCAGCCCCAGAAGGGGAAGTTTGCAGGTGAGATGGGGTGACAGGGCAGCTGGCACCCCGGGTGGAGGGCACTGCCTCGGCAGAACCAGGAGTTAAGCAAACCAGGGGACTGGCCAGCCATACTGATGCGCCAGAGACGGGGGCAGGGGGGATCACTGTGCTGAGAAACGTTCTAAAGACCCAGCTCCTGCAAGGATGCAGACGCGGGCAAGATAGAAACCAGAGGAAAGAAGGAGCTGCCCCGTGTGCGTTTTCTCAGAACACACCAGGAGGCTGTGCGGACACGAACTTTAACCAGTAACCACTCTGACTTCTGAGCGTCAAAACTTTCACAATAAACCATCAGCGATACCAATACAGAAGAACATTTGGAAAGTAAATGATGGAATTCTTGAACATTTACACAGGAAGTCACAGGTCCTCTAACACGGACTGTACCCCGAGTAAGAATTTTAAAAGGTGATAAAATTCTGAATGGACTGCATTCTGCTTTGCATGCCCATTAAAATGAAAAACGTTCTGTTAACCTCAGAACCCAGTAATAAAAGATACGCAATACAGTAAAAGCTCTGGAGTGACCAATTGTCCAAAATAATTAAGCTGTTATAAGATTAAGCCTGTTTTTAATTTTCTTCGTTTTGCTTACTTGTATTTTCCTCTTTTTCTACAATGACTCTGAAATGCTCATGAAAAGGGGAAAAGGGTGCTTTTCAAAGCCTGCCTAGGGGAAGTCGAAAAAGAAAGGGTGTCATACATGAGTGGGGTTCACTTAGACAGACAGGTAAACCCATACAGCGGGCCAACCTGTGCTCAGATGCAAAAGTTAAAAGGCTCTGAGACTGGGGAAAGAAAGGACTTCCGGTCCATGCGCCGTACCCACCTGGGTCACAGAGGCATTTATAGCTGGTGCCCACGCTGCGGCACGTGCCATGGGCGCAGGGGCTGAGCGCACAGAAGTCCACGAGCTGCGCGCAGGCTGGGCCCGTGAAGCCCGCACTGCAGCTGCAGCCGAAGTGCAGCCCCTCGGCGTAGCAGGTCCCGTTGTTCTGGCAGGGCCCCGAGGCGCATGGGTCCACCTTCTCCTCGCAGGCGGAGCCCAGGTAGCCTGTGGGAAGATGCAGAAGCGGGGAGGGGTAAAAAACTGAAACCGCATCACACTTAATGACCAAGAAACTAGGGCTGCTGTTCTTAACTCTTTTCCATTGTGAACTGATTAATGCACAACCCAACAAGGCGGGTTTACTTAGCTTTGGTAACCGGGGGTTAAATTATGAAGCCCTGTGCTTCCATTTTGCTTGAAGTACAACACATATGACTGCTTAGATGTACAGATGTACAGGGACATATATATATTTATATGTATACATGTGCATGTGTGTATGTATAGGCTAGAAAGATGCCAAAAATAAATTAATGGTGATTCAGGAAGGTGGGATTGGGGTCAGTGGAGGGATTTCACCTCTTATTTAATACACGTTGCTGGGGGAATTTATTCCTTATTTTGCTTTAATAGATAAAGATATAATCCTGAATTTAAAAACTAAAACCCATATAAAATAGTAAACAATGACAAAATCTTTCTCCCATCTTTCTCCCTTTGTCCCTCACTCCCTTCTCCAGAAGCACCCACTGTTAGCAGTTTCTTTAATACATGCTTTTCAAAAATGTGGTTATGGTAATGAAAAACGAACTATGGTGTAGCCATGCAATGCAATACTATTTGGCAACAAAAAGGAATTAAGTTCTGACATGTGCTCCAACATGGATGAACCTAAAAAACATATGCTAAGTGAAAGAAGCCAAATACAAAAGATCATATATTGTATAATTCCATTTACAAGGAATGCCCAGAAAAAGTAAATCTACAGATATAGAGAATAGATAAGGAGATGCCTGGGGCTGCCGTGGAAAGAGAAACTGACCAAAAATGGGCATGAAGGGTCTGCTAGGGTTGACGTAATGTCCTAATATTGGATTGTGAATTGTGGTGATGGCTGCACAACTCTGTATATTTACTAAAAAGCACCGAATTGCACTCTTAAAATGCATGAAATTTATGATATGTAAATGGTACCTCAAGAAGGGTTTAATTTTTTTAAATTTTAAATGTACTTCTTATGCAGCTGATTTTTATTTTGTTTTGTGTATGCGTTTCAGTATTCCTCAATTTAAAAATTCATACATACTCTTACTGTATAGCATAGGGAACCATATTAAATATCTTGTAATGAACTATGATAGAAAAGAATCTGAAATATATATACAACTGAATCACCTTGCTGTACACCAGAAACTAACACAACATTGTAAATCAACTAGACTTCAATTAAAAATTTTTTTTAATTGTACAGACATATATACGCGAATCTACAGGTCTGTGTGTCCAAGTAAGTGTTTAACAATACTTTGGTAAAACCTATTCTTTTAATATTTTAAGAGCAGTTTGAAAATTAAATGAAGACTATTCAAGTTTTAGAAACAAATTTAAATAATTTTTCTCATATACATTTCTTATTCCAATATTCTACTTTGCTTTTCTTATCTAGATTTAAATTTATGTTAACCATCTTCACACAGAAGTCTCAGCAATATTGGCAATTTCTGTTGTTCAAGACACAGTGAATATATAAAACAAACAAAAATAGTTCCCAGACTTTATCTAAAGCATCACTCATAAATTGTCATGATCAACTTGATATTTCTCTGTACAGAAATAGAAAATTTTTTTAAAAATCCAATGTTATTCAACATCTTATAAATTTCTCTGTAGCTTTGACATTTTAAATATCATACTAAAAATGTACCACACAATCAGTTTTAATAACACCTGAATTCTCCAAAGAGTCCCTTTGCAGGCAAGAGTGGTACGTAACTCCATCCTTCATGAGATGTATTCCCTTTCACTCTGAATGAGAAGAACATACTTAAACACATTTCACCCTATGACAAACTGAACAACCGAGGCAAGTCCTGACCTCTCTCATCTTCCACCACCTCACCCCAAAAACAGAGCTGAAATTATTTTCTTCATAAAGTTGTTGTGGCTTCTAAAATGACATACATCAAAATTCCTAGAACAGTTCCCCGGTCCAATGCTGAATGAATGAATGAAAGAAAAATGGTAATAATAAAAGCAACAGCTGACATCCACTAGGGGCTGAGATGCACCAGACAGTTCTAAGCCTTCACGTGCATTACTTCATTTAGCCCTGGGGTAACTGCATGATACAAGAACTATTAGTAGCCCCAGTTTACAGATGAGAGGAGGATGACAGAGAAATGTGAGGTATCCTGTTCAAGTCTACTTAGCTAGTGGGTGGCAGAGCTAGGATACAAGGACCAAGCTCTTAATTCTCCACTATACTGCACAGAAGTCAATAACGCCCAATTAAGAAAATGTTATGATGTGTAAACATAACGAGGACTTGTGTTTCTATTCTTTTTTTTTTTTTTTTTTTTTTTTTTTTTTTTGG